TCTGTCCGACACTGAAAATCCGTTGTATTGTAAAATTCGTTATATCAAAATTCGCTGTAGAAAGAGTTGACTGTAAATTACTATTTATTTAATTTATTTCTTACCACATAATTTTGCTTAATTGTTTTTTTAGTTATTTGATGCTTACTACTTAAATGGTCTATTAAGATGCCTGTTGAACTTCTATGCTAATATTTTTTATCACATATTTTACTTGTAATAACCTTTACTTGACATGTAGCAATTCTATCATTAGATACAAACCAATCCTATATCCAACTTCTTTTTTGTGACCCTCCTCTTTTTTTTTGAATTTTATTTGAATTATTTTGATTATTTTCAACAGAACTTAAATCCATGTTTACAAATTTATTAAAAATTTATTAAAAAATGGGAAAATTTTTTACAAAAAAAAAAAAAAAAGAGAACGTGTGTGAAAAAAAAAATATGTATAAATCAAAAAAAAGGAGTATGTGTAACAAATATTTATATGAAACAACCAATCTTTTTTAAAGTTAGATAAACAAAAGCTTTATATAGAAAATTTATAGAATATCTTAATTGTTTTACAAAAGCGAATTTATCCTTTTTTAATTAGTTATTTAAAGTGTGTAAATTTTACGCTAAAATCAAAGAAATATTTATAGTATCATCCTTGAATCAAAAAAAGTGAAATTTATCTATTACTTTTATAATCCAAGTCAAAATCACAGCCCAAGAAGGCGTCCCCTAAAGAAAAGAAGCAAAAGGAACGATAATGGTGTTTCAAAGACAAAAAAGAAACAAAAACAATTTCTTATACCACTTACCTTCATAGTCTAAGCCGAAATCCAAGTTCAGGAAGGCGTCCCCTAAAGAAAAGAAGCAAAAGGAACGTTAATAGCATTCTAAAATAAAGAAAAACAAAAAATCCCACAAGAAAAGCAGCAAAAAAACATTAATGGCGTTCCAAAGATAAAGAAACAAAAACAATTCCCTACACCACCTTACCTTCATAATCCAAGCTGAAATCCGGGTCCAGGAAGGTGTTCTCTAAAGAAAAACAGCAAAGGAACGTTAATGACATTCCAAAGACAAAAAAAAATCCCCTATATCACCTTACCTTCATAACCCAAACTGAGATCCAGGTCCAAAAAGGCGTTCCTTAAAGAAAGAAGCAAAAGGAACGTTAATGACATTCCAAAGATAAAGAAAATCAAAAACAATTTTCTACACCACCTTACCTTCATAGCCCAAGCAGAAATCCAGTTCAGGAAGACGTTCTCTAAAAAAAAAAGAAGTAAAATGAATGTTAGTAACGTTTCCAAGACAAAAAAAGAAAGAATTTGCACTTACCGTTTGAATTCAAGCTGTTTAAGTTAAAATTTGGAGTAAAAGGTTCAGGAGGAGAAAGGAAAGAGAGTGTGTGTATGTGTATATGTATATGTGTGTATATGTGAGAGTTGTGTGTATGTGTGTATGTGTATATGTTAAAAGAGAGAGTGAGTGATGTAATACGTAGATTTAATATTATCATTATTGTAAAAAAAAAAATAAGAATAAAAAAAATTTATGCTTACACTAAATTGAATTGACCGTCCAATTTGTTCACTGGATATCTGATGATCCATCTGATTAATCCAGTGATATAAATGGATTAATCTGAATCTGGTCAAATTTTAGATAGATGACTGGATATCCAAATTGATCAGATTCAGAGTACACCTCTAGACAAAGATACAAGTCTTTGTCGAACATAGAATGGTTTTTTATATAAGATATTCTATTACGAATCATCATTAAATAGAAAATTAATTCATTAAATATGAAAGTACATCAAATTTGGCAAATCATATATATAGTAGAATTTATATTACATAATTTATACAATATATCCAAATTTGGCAATAATAAAACTATGGTTAATCAAATTCGTATAAACTTTAATAATGAATTAACTTCGATTTTTAGTTATCAAAATAATTTTCTTTCCCAATAGTTGTCTCTTTAAACAATTAAGCATGCTGCCACCAAAATGCTATTCTAGAAGCTCAACACCATTGCAACCTTTACCTAAAAAGATCCATAATATATCTATTCAAAACGATGAATGTCCAGAACCTTATAAACAGGCTCTTACTTCTAAAGCCTCTACTTCAAATACTTTTACTTCCAAAGCTTCTTCTTCCAAAGCATCATCTTCTAAAACTTCTTTTTCTAAAACATTAATACCTTTATGATATGATGATAACAATACTGATAATATCCCTGAAACATCCAATTCTAATGATATAATAGATCTTTTGCAAGCTGAAGAAGACATATTGGGTAATAATCTCTAATACAATAATATTAAATTTGACATTTTTGTTTATATATGCTAGTCTTTGCAAAAAAAAAGTTCTTTTGACATTGAAGATAATGAAAGTTATAATGATAGTATTATGACCAAAAAAGCATTATGTTCTGATACTAAGGATAGGTCCGCAAATAGGCAATTGCAGAATAATTGCGATTTACGATATTGCGGACAATTGTGGAAATTAAGGTCCGATTCCGTAATTTTGGCCAAAATTAACATAATTTTGGCCAAAATATATATTTAAATTTATTAAAGCATAACTCCGCCAATATC